CAGAGTAAGACTCTTGTCTCCAAAAGAAAAAAAATCAAATTAATATTTATTGTTTAAAAATTATTTGCATAGGCTAGGTGTGGTGACTCATGCCAACTCCAGCACTTTTGGAAGCCAAGATGGGAGGAGTGCTTGAGGCCAGGAGTTCAAGACCAGCCTGGGCAACATAGGGAGACCTTGTCTCTACAAAAAAAATTTAAAAATTAGCTGGGCGAGGCAGCATGCACCTGTAGTCCTAGCCACTGAGGAGGCTGAGTCAAGAGGATTACTTGAGCCCAGAAGGTAGAGACCACAGTGAGCCATGATTGTGCCACTGCAGTCTAGCCTGGGCGACAGAACAAGACTGTATTTCAAAGAAAAAAATAAAGGAAATGAAAAGGAAAGAAAGAGATTTAAGGAATATAAAGAGAGGGGAGGAGGACATAAATGTTCATTCTATTTTTTTATTCTAATATATTTTATACAGCTAAATATTTTACATGTTCAGTATTTAAACCATATAAGATTTCGATGGATGTTTTGAAGTGTCAACATTGCTATTTTTTAAAATCAAGACTGCCATTTTCTCTTGAAAATATAATATTAAGTAAATGTTCACCCTTTGTTTAACAATCTCTTCCCTCATTTCACTTTGCAAAAAAAAAAAAGGAAAAAGAAAATCAAATGTTGAATCTCTTACAGCTGAAATAACCTTTGACCCTGATTGAGCAGATCTTTATCTACATGCTCACTAACCCATTGAATCAGCTTCCATCTAAGGCGGGGAAGTGATTAGACTTACAGGAAGGAGGCCCTTTTCTATTGCTTAGTACCATACAAATAGTAGGCTGTCTAAAATACTTATTCATAATGACAGAAAGTAAGAAAAAAATCTGATTAAATATAATGGGAAGGAAAGGGAATATATATAATGTTTTAGCTTAAAGGTATCATGTATGATGTATAATAAAAGTTCAATAGATATTTGCTAAAGATATAATTCAATACAGAAAAAAGATGAAAAGCAAATGAATCATATATGTATGTATAATTGTAAATGTCCACGTTACCTTTTTAGACTAAAAGTTTTCAGGTAATTGTTCAAAGTAGAACTTTGGTAACTCTATCATAAATTCGATACATAGGTATCACATATTAGGTACTGCCCTAAAATCATTGCTTGAGAAAAAACTTGATTCTGATTTGGAGAATTTCCTTCACCAACTTCTGAAGAACATCAGGTTTATCTTCTTCAGATACTTCAACTCTCATAAAACGTCAACTTCACTCTTAGTCTAAGTGCCCCACAGATGTATAGTTAAGGTAACTTTGGAGTAATACCAACTTAAGTTTAAATTTCAGCTCAGCTCCACCATTTACTAGAGTGTATCCCAGGCAAGTTCCTTATACATAAAATTGGAATCATACTACCCAGCCCATTTACCTCAGTAAATGGTTATGGAGGTTAGGTAAGAAGGTTTATATAAACTCACTATCCCTAGTATGGCACATGGATCTGCCCTTAACTAGCTAGCAGCTAGCTGGGGAACATACTTAATTCAAGTCCATCTGGAAACTTATCAGACACTAGCTAGGCAAGAGATGTACTAGGGAAAATGCCCGTGAAGGATCAAGGGAAAGGAAGCAGAGGAAAGTGAGGAAAGCCTCCAAACCATGCTGCAACTCTGATATCTGTGGAAGTAGAGAAGGAAAAGAGATGATCAGGATAGAGAGTCAAAGACTGTAGCACAGTTCCAAAAAAGCCCTGGTTAGGCCAATCAGAGTCCTTGAGCCAAAATGGCCACTTCTCACAGGAATTGCCCAGCAATTTTTTTTCCTTTTTTAATTTTGTGAGACGGAGTTTTGCCCTTGTTGCCCAGACTAGAGTGCAATGGCGCGATCTTGGCCCACTGCGACCTCTGCCTCCCAGGTTCAAGCAATTCTCCTGCCTTAGCCTCCAAAGTAGCTGGGATTACAGGCATGCACCACCATACCCAGCTAATTTTGTATTGCTTTTTTTTTTTCTTTTAGAATCAGGGGCTTCACTATATTGCCCAGGCTGGAGTGCAGTGGCTATTCACAGGAGTGATTGTAGTACACTGCGGCTTTGAACTCCTGGCCTTAGCCTCTTCCTGACTTAGCCTCCTGTCTAGCTAGGACTATAGGCATGCACCGCAGTACCCCAAAAGAACTGACCAGCTTTTATATACCTACCATGCTCAGTCATCAGTATGGAAAGCCCAGCTCCGTGCAAACATGGTGGCGTGTGCCCACAGAGGCAACAGCTGGGGCTGTCAGTCAGTCATGTTCCCACAGCAGGAGATCTGCACTTTCAGGTGGCCACATTTCAGGCACTGGACTGCACAGATCCACCTCTGCATGCATGCTCAGGGAGCAGCCTCTTCGCAAGTCCATGGACTGCTCTTCCTGAAGGGAAACTTAGGAGTGATAGGTTAATAGGACAAACTATGACCAGGTCTCAGGCCCAACCTGGTTCTCATCCTGTCCCTTTGGCACAGTCCATTTCCCTCACCTTTAGCTATCACCTTGGCAAGTCCTGATGGCTTATTGAGAGATGTTATGCGATGACATGACCTAAGTCTTCATTCCTCTTAGATCTGAGCCCTTTGCAGTCATACCCTTCTCAGGCCAGGAGCACCATACACACCAATCCTAATTCCAATGAGTCAAGGGAGTACCAGGAAAGGCCCAAGGAGATCTCCTGGGTTCCACAAATCCTCCCTAACCCCATCCGCTTCCTTGGGCTGATGAGGATGTATTCTCCCTGTCATTGCGATGGCTGTTTTCTCCTGCTGGTCCCTGGAGACAAGGAATTCAGAGTGCCCTGGTGGCAGCCATAATTTGTAATTCAATGGGACTCTTTGTCTCCTGGCAAGAGTAGACTGAGTTTGGGGAACAGGATCTTTAACCTTTGATGAACACAGAGTTTTGGGGACTGGAAGGACAGTTCCCAGTGGGTCATTGGGAGTGATGGCAAGTGGGACCACTCCTATTTTGACCCCTTTTTTCTAGATTCATTTATTCTTTTTGTTGTGGACACAGTGCCATATAAAGGTCTCTGATTCAATGCATCATCCTAGCCTTTTAGAAGGTTGCCTCCTATCGCTGCAAGTATGCTTTTGAAAGGCCGTTTCCACATTCTGTGAGGTCAGCTGTTCTGAGTGGTGTTATATATGACCCGTGGACCCCACGGTCATGGACCCACACATTTTGAGATTTTATGTAGCATCTTTTTTGGCTATGTATTTGCCTCTAAAGGACACTATACTCTATTAACCATCTCTGCAATTCCTGCAGATCAAGCCACCTTGGCTGCTCCTCTGACCTTGTTAGTTATTATGGTAATTGTGAACTCATGGCTTCTGGGAGTCACATACTTCCAGCTGGTCTCTACTCCTTGACCAGAGCTCCCACCATGCCCATGGCTGTAAAGGAGCTCAGCTGTGGCATCACTCTCCTACTTTGAGCAATGGCCTGCAGAGGAGGCTACTATTGTGCTTCCTAGTGACGCCAATGTCTTTCTCAACAGTGTATTCTTAATGGTCTTGGTGAAGACCTCAGTGGGTCTTCTGGTCTTACATGGTATTTCCATCCTAACATGCCCCTTCCCTCAACCTTTTAATCTTTCCTCTACCTTCTGCCAGGGCAACTCGGGCTTCTCCACTTTACCCTGGTTTAGTCACTACCTTTTCCAGGCTTCTAAAAGCCACCCCACAATAAGTTTGCCTCATCCTCTAGGGTCTTTGCTAGGGCATTAGATCCTGTGTCTTGAAAGAGTGTCCTTAAGTCTGAGCTCCAGAAATAGCTGTACTTCTCTTGGGCAATGTTCCTTATCACTTACATAGCTGATTGTATTTCTCCTTTTGATCTGATTGTTAAGAACTTCAGAAACCTCGAGGTGTGGTGGCTCACACCTGTAATCCTAGCACTTTCGGAGGCAGAGGCTCTACTCAGGTGGATTGCCTGAGCTCAGGAGTTTGAGACCAGTCTGGGCAACACAGTGAAACCCCGTCTCTACTAAAATACAAAAAATTAGCCAGGTATGGTAGCGTGTGCCTGTAATCCCAGCTACTTGGGAGGCTGAGGCAGAAGAATTGTTTGAACCTGGGAGGCAGAAGTTGCAGTGAGCTGAGATCGTGCCACTGCACTCCAGCCTAGGTGACAGAGCAAGACTCCATCTCCAAAAAAAAAAGAAAAGAAATTCAGAATCAAATTTTAATTATACATCTATTACATATACAGGATACAGATATATAGGAACTTACGACATGTGCTTTATATGCTGTACTTCACAACAGCTTCATCTTTTTTTTTGTTGTTTTTGAGACAGGATCTCCCTCTATCACCCAATTTGGAGTGCAGTGGCACAACCACAGCTCACTTCAGCCTTGACCTCCTGGCTCAAGCGATCCTCCCACCTCAGCCTCCCATGTAGCTATGACCACAAGTGCATGCCACCATGCCCAGCTAAATTTTGTTTTATTTTTTGTAGAGATGAGGTCTTGCTATATTGCCCAGCCTGGTCTCGAACCCTTGGAGATAGCAATCCTTCTATCTCAGCTTCCCAAAGTACTGGGATTACAAGCATGAGCCATTGCACCCAGACATCTTTTTTTTTTTTTTTAACATTTTCACTTCATACTGAATCTCCTACTTGCATTTATTGAACACACTATCTTCCCAGCACTGTGCTAAGTACATATGTGTTATCTCATTTAACCCTGGCTTTCCTACTGTGTGATCTTAAGGAAGATACTGAACTTCTATAAGCTTTAATTTCATCATTGGTAAGTAAGGATGATCCTAATGTCCACTTTGTAGGGTTATAATGAGGATTAATGATAGTAGTTAACATCAGCAGTTATTAAAATATACTCAAATATTTTTGCCTAAAACAACTCAAAATATCTGATTTAATTATTTTGTAGGATGTCAATGTAGTAATGTCCAGAAAGATAAACATTCGTTTATTATAAAAACACTCAACATACAGAGCAGAATAAGTGTTACTAAGCTTATTTATTACAGCTTTAATGTAATTAAAGACTTTTGTGGTTTCTGTAATTAAGAGCAACATAACAGAATCAATAAAGCTTAAGACATAATGAACATCCATACAGAACACGTATTTATGTTTTTTTTTTTTTAAATAGGTAAATGAGATGATGGCCCCCTCTGAGGGCAGTGTGCCCGAAGATGCTTTACTTCAAAATCCATTCAGTTTTACAGGAATCTCAGATTGCTTTGGGCTGACTTACTAGCCATAATAACGAGGCTTATTCTACTCCTGGGATTTAGTATACTGTATTAATAATTAAAGCATCTTATGAGCAAATGCTATTCTGACAACCAAGCCTGGGGTGCTGGAAAGACTGCTGGGTTAGAAAGCAGGACACTACATGCTGGATGATCTCTTCGATAGATTAAAAAAAAAAAAAACTTAGAGCAGTCTTTTTAATGTCTCTGAGCTCAGATTGCTCCTTAGTTTGGATCACATTATTTTATGATCCCTATCAGCATCAAAATTCTATGCATCTTTATTTTTTAACTTTACCGTGTCCGTGTACAAGTTAATGGCCACAAAATGATGTATGCATTTGAAAAATGGGGTAACTGAAGTGTAAAGTTTAAATTACATTCCAAAAAGCAATAGGAAAATAAATTGTAGCTGAACAATAATTGGCCAGGCACAGTGGCTCCTGCTGGTAATCCCAGCACTTTGGGAGGCCAAGGCAAGAGGATCACTTGAGGCTAGAAGTTCAAGACAAGTGTGGCAACATAGCGAGACCACCTCTCTAGTGAAAAAAAAAAAAAAAATTAGCCATACGCAGTGGTATGCAGCTGTAGCTCCAACTACTTGGAAGCTGAGGTGGGAGGATTGCTTGAACCCAGGAGTTCAAAGTTGTAGTGAGCTATGATGGTGCCACTGCACCCCAGCATGGGTGACAGAGTGAGACCTCATCTCTAAAAAAATAGAAACAAAATGAAATAAAAGTAGAAAAGAATTAGATGTGACTTCTTCTCAAGTTCTAATTTTCTCTTATCCTGCTAGGAGTGTGATACATAGAAATTATATATTCTCAGAGGTCTATGGCATCAAACACTTTAACTCAATTCAGCAAATACTTATTCAGTACAAGTATGTTCCAAGCACTGTGTTAGTTTTTGATAACATGATGCAGGATACACATGATCAGTAACAATCAACTGAACAGCTTCATGTATAGGGGACTATACTAGGCCCTTGCCAGGGGTGGCTACCCTTCCTCTAGTGTGTAGAGGAAAAGGCAAGACATCCATCTGAAAAATAGATAATCAAGCATCAAATGGCTGATACAGACATAAATGTCATAAGATTTCAGAGACAGGAAACATCACTGAAAATCCAGACAGACTTCATGGAGCGTGTGAAATGTGAACCGAACTGCAAAGGACACTGAAAGATCAAAGAGGCAGGAAAGTGCTGGGCCTATTTAATTGACATTTATATCCTTCCCAGTATTGTTAAGATTAGGTTTATTTTTGTGTCTGAAATGCATGTGTGTTGTCTTCCCTCAATTTTAGGTACCATGACAGCAGAAACCATGTATAATACAATATTTATATTTGATTCAGCATGACTGATATTTATAGAGCACTTACTATACATCAGACACTGTACGAAGTAAGCTTTGGAGAAGAGGGCAAGGTCAAGGGGGAAAGAAAAGAATTGGAGATAAAACTCAGAAATCAGATGAGGCCCTTCTGTCACTGAAAGATCTGAGTAAACTTGGTTTGAACTCTCAACACATTGCCTGGACTGTGGATGTGTAAAGCCCTTTCAAGAATGAGCTAACTTCTGGAGGGACACTTTCACCTTCTCATTTCTACTCTGTTTTGCATCATGTTGCAGTGAAGGCATTCACACAAGGTTCCCTGGGTTTGGCAGCCATCCCTGAAGATGGAGGTAGGTAGGAATCACAGCTCTGCTGCCCCAGTAGCTGCTTTCTCCATTTTCCCTCTCCCCTCCCTCCTTTTGCCCTCATGTTCTACATTACAGATTGCCTCCCAAAATTTCCAAAACCTCCCTGCAGTATGCACGGTGAGTTGGCTGTCCTCTAACAGCTGGATCCTTGGTCTCAACTTTCCACCTCAAGCATTTTCCAACCTATTTATTCTATTACACCTAATTTTCTTTCAGGAAGAAATCTGGCACCAGCTGTTAAGCAATGGTGATATTTTCTCCACCTTGTTACAGAGAGATAAGCGCACCGGTAACTCTAAGAGAAAACCACAGGGCTATGAAGGGACAGAAGGAGAAAGCATAGGAAATGAGTCAGGAATGGTTTTGGGGGCCTAAGTGGTCCCTTTCTCTGTCCCGAATTCACACCATATTTATTGCCTATGTCACCATATTTATTGCCTTGGAAATGTGTCCTTTAATGCCTTCTATTGCTGTTTGTCTTTCCATCTGTTTGTGCTTTATCTCCCTGACCAGATTTTTTTCAGTTCCAGTATGGCAGGCTTTTCTGTTCATCCCTGGAATGCTCATGGCACCTGGTCTAGTGCCTCCTGGGTAATGGGCCTCACTGGTTGGTCTGTTGAATCCCAACCTGTGGAAGCTTTATGATTTGCCTAGTTTCACAAGACCTTCCCTCAATTTTCCTAAAAATGCCACATGGCAGGTGTTTGACTTAATTAAAATAAATTAAAATGTCTCTCAAGAATGCACTGAGTATTTAACCAATTGGCTTGAGAAGGCTGGAGATGCCCACTCAAGTTCCAGCAATGAGGTGCTGAAAAGGACCAATGTGTATTTAAGTGCCCCTACCTCCCAGCCATCTGCTTTTATTCTCACAATCACCTTCTGCGGTGAGACTAGGTGATTTGCCAGTGTTCACACTATTGCAGGGCAGGAACTGAAGTTTTTAACAGAACACACCTAGATTCAAAGCTCCTGTTCTTTTCAATGTCTCACACGTCCAGAATAATAATGTCCCCTTAGAGATATTCAGGTTCTCATCATCATCACTAAGAAGGGCAGTTATCCACTAGGATACAAACTAAACAAACCACCCTAATAATTATTGTCCTGGAGTTGTAAAAGGAAAATTGACTCCATGAACTTGAACAAGTGGCTTCACCTTTCTGAGCTTCCAGCTACTTATCTGCATATATACAATTCTACAGAGTTGATGTCAACATTAAGTTAAATAACACCGTCTCATACACACACACACACACACACACACACACACACACACACGCACACACACAATATCAGGGAAACAGTCTTTCTGTTAGCTGAAAACAAAGATCAATTGCATTATTTGAAGATTTCAAGTAGTAAGTGAAAATTCCTCTTCCTTTATAGAGTATAAAATAGGAGCTGACACTCAGGTCTGACATTCAGATTAGTTGGGCAGATGTCTTTTAATTGGGTTAACTCATTACATGACTTGGGAGGGGCATTAGCTGACTCACACAAGAACAGATTAACCATTAACCCAACATCATGCAGCTACAGCCACAGTCCAGAAGGTAAACTGGCACCACCATCAATATCCTTTGAAGCCCTTCTCCACAGTAACTACCATTGCCCCTCAAACAGAGCACTTTCAGATTATTGTAATCAGCCCAGGTAGGAGGTAAGACGGTCTACGGTATGACCATTATAAAATATAAGAAACTTCTTTAGGGGAGGGCTTGGAGAATGGAACCACTCTCCCCATTCCCCTGATGACACCAAGTCCTGACATATGTCTCTAAGACCACAGGCTTGGCAGTGAACCAGAGCTGAGTTTTAGCTCTGCCTCATCCTAGTTGTGTGGCTGTGAGTAGTACATAACTGCTTTAAATCTCAGTTTTTTAATCTGTAAAATGGGAGTGATAATATTTTATGTCTTTTTTATTGTGTATATTCAGAATTTTTATTTTAAAACAAAGAACCAGAGTAACATTAATAATAGAAAATTCATGTGGAAATATTCACAATCTGGTCAGTGAGAAACGAGAAAACAACTTCCATGCCTTACTGCCCAACCATTGTTTGAGGAGCCAGAAGTAGAGGTGAAGCTGGAAAAAAGTCACCTTTTCCAGCTAAACCCCACTGCATAGCTATATGCATTTTTATTCAAAGGCTCAATGACCAGAAGGAACAGTGAGAACTGAAAACCAAAATACTGTTATTGGCAAGGGTTCAGCTAAAGAGTCTGAGATGTGTAAGCACCAAGAAGGGAAAAGGAGATCAATCAACATACGAAAAAGGGGCTGTAGGAACAAACACAGAGAAAATAAGTCAACAATAACCTACTGCCACCCAGAGCAAAGTGACACTGCACATACATTCATCCTTGCAGTATGGGCTACACTGCACATTGACTCATACTGTCTCCAACGTGGCCTACTGGAAAGATTCAAGTCCCCTAAGGGCACTCAGCACAGGACCATGGTGGCATGGTAACAGACATAGACAAGCATGCCGTGACCCTGAAGCAACAACATGCTTTAGATAATAATCGTTCAGGAAAAAAATCCTCTCCCAGAGCTGAGGTGTCAAATTCCAAGTTAGCCATAAACATTCTTTTTGGAATTCCTTTAAAGGTATGGGTTAAAATAAAATAAAATCAACACCTAAAATCTCCTAAAGAACAAAATGGAGAAATAATGAACCTCTACCAAGAACTAATTATTTTGGATTTCTCATTTGGATGGCTCTCCCACCAGAGGGATGGTGGGATTACTTAAAAAGTAATGAGTCTACTACAAGGGGAAGGAGTTTTTTGGTCCAGTAAGAAGGAACAGGCTTTCTAGAAATAACTTTCCCTTCCCTGGACTCCATCCAAAATTAGAGCCCATCAACTGTGATTAACTACAATGCCCATCTTAGTTAACAATTTTAGATTTCAAGTAATACTACATATAAACTATAATCTTAAATTTAAAAGTTTCAAAAGAAATCGGTAGCTTTATTATATAGGCATATTACTTTTCTGAGAAATTAAACTTAAGAGTTTCCATCTGAAGGACAGAAATTGTTAAGAGGCAACATGCAGACCTCAGGCTCCGTATCATAAACCCTCCAATAACAAATTGCATTTCTCCCTAAATTCTTCTTATTGCACCTTACCACTCAAGCATCAAATCTTCTACTCTATGATGTCTTTTAAACACCTCCCTTTCACCCCAATTTTCTTATGTTTTCATTGCTTGGCAAAAGTACACTTAAAAAAATAAATATATGTAATTAAACCAGAAGGCAAAATAAATAAAACTCAAGTTAATTTCCTGTGTACAGCTGTATGGAAATGAGGAAGGTGCTCTTACATAAACCCCCTCTGCTTTCCACACTTGTGTATCTGCTTCCTGGTAAGTCTGAAGTTGGGGCAACTGTACCTTACCCTTCCTCCCCCATATCCTCTAATGGGGCAATATTAGAATCCAAGAGAGGAAGAGCTGGCAAAGCTGTCATATGCCAAGTGGCCAATCCCTCCTGAAATGAAGGTAGGTTCACTTGGTCTCTCCTAAGTGAAAGAGAATGTCCAAGAAATGAAATATTTAAAAAGCCATTGAAAATCTAACAAGCCCCAGCCTTGTGGGAGAAAGGAATTGAGTAGCAGCATTCAGAAGCAGTCCTGGGTTCATCCTGATGAGTACCTCCCTTGTTCAGGGAGAGGTGGCTTTCCCATGATGAGCGGGAGGTGGAAGGAGGCATGACTTAGACAATGGTGGTGGTCTCCTTAGCAGGCTGGTTGCTGTTCATCTCCACGATGCGGTCCTTCTGGATCTATTCGCATAATGTGCCTGCCCTTCAAAGTCCTGTGCGATATCCTCAAAAGTCCTGTGACAGGTCTCAGAGACTCTGAAGACGATAAAGATCAAGAAGGTAATGAGGAAGCTGGTGAAGATAATAAAAACATAGACTCCTAAACAGTAAGCAGCAGAAGGCTAGGAAGTTGGAGGTCCGATTGGAGCAGCTGGCCACTACCATCACAGTTGGACCAGGGCCCTGGTTGAAGAGTTCAGCCACAATAAATCAGGGAATGGGGCCTGGCCCAATTTCAAAGAAGGCCACAAAGACCAAGATAGCCCCAATACAGACAAAGCTTATCCCATTATACTCGTCCTTTAATAACAACGAAACAGTCGTGAGGATGGAACAAAAAGTCATCCCTCCAAAGTCTGTCATATCTAAAGTCCTTCTTCCTGCCCTTTCCACCAGAAATAGGGAAACTACAGTGAAGACAGTGTTAACCACACCCACACCGACATTGGCATAGATGGGCTCTTGAACACCTGCACCCTTGAAGATTCCTGTTGGGTAACAGAACACAGCAGATTCCAGAGAGCTGCTGAGAGAGCTGAGCACGATGGAAATGATGATGGGCTGTCAGTAGCTGGATACTCTATTTTTTTTTTTTTAGGAGTCAGGGGAAAGCACAAATGCAGTCCCCCACTACCACAAATTATGCAGTCGAGTTTCCCACATTTGGGGAAATCGCAGGGGTCAGCACATCTGGAGTGCAATGGATAGGCCTCACCCTGGGAAAACCACCTTCGTGATCATGGTATCTCCCCTGCCAGGTAAGTATGGTAGCTGGATACGCTAAAGAGCTCCAGCACGGTGACTTGCTTTTCTTGTGCCGTCCTTGCACTCTCATCTTTCATCTCCTAGATGTCGTGGGATGCATCCTAAGGAGGATCTCCTTAGCATTCTCCTCTTCTTTTCTCTGAATGAGCAAGAATGTGGGACTTTCAGGGCAAAATGGAAGGGCTGCACTTTGTAGGAGAGCAGGAAAGATGGTAAAGCCTCATAGCCTGAGCCATAGCTCTTCAGACCCCAGGATGAATTCCAGACTAAAGATCTGGTTTGCCAGAATTCCGATAACAATGCCTAGCTGGTTGAGAGTGCCAAAGCCACCCGCAGCACAGTAGGTGAGATACATATGAGCACAAAACCTGTGCAGAGTCCACAGAAGAGGCCAATAACCAAGTGGCCCAGGATCAGCATTTCAACTGACTCAGCTACTTTAAACAATCCCGTAAGGCAGCCTCTAGTGACAACCACCAGGTTGATGATAAGCATTGAATTGTGCCTGCCAAAGCGGTTGACAAAGAATTTAACAGAAAAGGAGCCAATCATACCACCAATGGAGAAAATGGCCACAGACAGAGACCAGAGGGACACGAACAAGATCTCAGAGGGAGGAGTATTTGCCTTGTCCTTCAAAGTGTTGATAAATTCCCTTATGATCATCTAAGCGGCATTGATGACCCCAGTGTTGTAGCCAAACTGGAAGGAGCCGACTGTAGCAACCGTAATGGTGAAGATCAGAGATGGAGTGACCTTCGGCGTCCCGATGGCCCTAATCTAATTCTTTCTTTCTTGCTTTTTTTTTTTTGGTCAAATGACCATAGATTTTTTTTTTTTTTTGAGACAGAGTTTTGCTTTTGTCTCCCAGGCTGGAGTACAATGTTCAATCTCGGCTCACTGCAACCTCCGCCTCCCAGATTCAAGCTATTATCCTGCCTCAGCCTCCCAAGTAGCTGGGATTACAGGCACCTGCCACCATGCCTGGCTAATTTTTATATTTTAGTAGAGACGGGGTTTCACCATGTTGGTCAGACTGGTCTCAAACTCCTGACCTCAGGTGACTAATCTGCCTCAGCCTCCCAAAGTGGTGGGATTACAGGTGTGAGCCATCATGCCTGGCTCCTAATTTAATTATTTTCAAGTCTTTAAGAAAGGTCTAGGAGTGTGATTCCAGAGACACCTTTTTCAACCAATGAAACCTTCAAAATTCCCTTCTCGGCAGCCAGTTTTCTCCAGGTCCTCAGGAATACTCTAAAACTCTCACCATTACAGCATCTCCTATTTTCTGCCTTCTAAAGTTGTTGTAGAGATTAAATTAAATAATAAGCTAGGTGAAGTGGCTCATGGTGCATGTCTGTAATGCCAGCACTTTGGGAGGCTGAGGTAAGAAGCTCACTTGAGCCCAGGTGTTCAAGATCAGCCTGGGAAACATAAGGAGATCCTGTCTCTCCAAAAAAATAATTAGCCAGGCATGGTGTTGCACGCCTGTTGTCCCAGCTAATTTGGAGGCTAAGGTGGGAGGCTTGAACCCAGGAGGTCAAGGCTGCAGTGAGCCATGACTGTGCTACTGCCCTCCAGCCTGGGTGACAGAGACCCTGCCCAACCTTCCCTCCAAAAAAGAAGAATATAAATTACTTAGTACACTATCTGGCACATTGTAGGTTCTTTATAAAGTTGGTTATTATTTTATTATTAGCAGGGACCAAGGCCTTAAAGTTGTAAGATGCAGGGAAATAACAAAAGAAAATAAAGAAAGGCTCCCTGTTGCTGAAGAAGCCAATGCCACAGTCAGGTTCACTAGGTCTATCACAATTTGGCTTGCAGCCAATCTTACCCCATGGTTACCTGCATGCACCCTGTGAAAACTTCCTTCGCTCCTCAAGGTAGGCAGAATTCCTCCTTTAGTTTCCCAAAGTACTTTGCATGTACTACTTTCCCTTATCACTCTGCATTCTATTTTGCTTGCATAGCTATCCAGTCTACCCTACCTCATCCCAGGCTGTGAGTTTATAGACAGCAGGAACCAGGCAGTCATCTTTGTATTTGCAGCCATAGGCATTTTGTAAGTATTAGATGAATGGATGGAAGGATGGATGGATGGATGGATGGATAGATAGAGAGATAGAGAGATAGATAGATAAGGAACATGGGATAACTAGTGACTTGAAAGGATTAGGTCTCGGTACCCAGGGGTCTAATTAAGACAGTCATTGCTTCACAAGCTTGCCTAAGGCTGAATCTGAAAGAAATGCAGAGGACATGACATTTGCAGAAGTGTTTGCCTGGTGAGCAATCCACATGTGCCTCCAAGGGAAAAGCATGACTAGTTGGTGACTGCTGGCAGAGCTGGTATCAGGCAGAATACCTTGGCAACCAGAAACCAAGGCAGGATGATGCCTCTAAGTTTTCCTGCAGCCTGAAAGTTAAATTAGCCAATTAGGAACAAGTTCTTCCAAAGACTCAGTTTCAGGCAGACTTGTGGAAATGACTGTTCTCTCTGTCATTGTGTTCACTGTTAACAATGATGCAAGATCTAAAGACAGAAAGTGGGCATGAAATGTGGTTCTCACAGAAGATGGACTGTCCGAAGATAACATTTCCAAGTACCTAGAGTACCAAGTATTTTAGATCATAGGGCAATATAGAGGGAGACACTGTATCTTGACTTTTCAGAAACCATTCTTATTTTATTCATTTTGTTAAAAGCAATTGAAGATGATAACATTTATTGATTGATCACTGATTGTATACCTCATACTTTTTAAGAAAGTGATATGCTAGAGTTGGCCTTCCCTGGCTCATGAGAGTCAATTATACATGTGTTTTCTCAAGGCTGCATTAGATAATTTTACACTGCCATCTTAAATTCGGCCATGTCAGGAGTATTTGACTTCCCAGACTCAAATGATGGAAATCGGCAAACACTAAAAATCAGTGTTTTCACTCTCATCCCTCCTGAGAGCTGCTTGTCAAACATTTACTGCACACCACTGATTTTACAATAAATGATCCTAATTAGCCCTTCCCATATTCCTACTTTACAGATGAGAAATTGAAGTTTAGAGATTAAATAACTAATTCACTTATTAAAAACATTTTGGTGGCAAAGGCAGGATTGAAATTCAGATCATCTGTCTCCAAAGTTCATGAATTTAACCATTTTTTTTTCTTTCTTTTTTTTTTTTTTTTGAGACAGAGTCTTGCTCTTATCTCCCAGGCTGGAGTGCAGTGGTGTGATCTCAGCTCACTGCAACTTCCCCCTCCTGGATTCAAGTGATTCTCCTGTCTCTGTCTCTCCTGCAGCAGCACAGGCATGCACCAGCATGCCCAGCTAATTTTTGTATTTTTAGTAGAGACGGGGTTTCACCATGTTGGCCAAGATGGTCTGGATCTCTTGACCTCATGATCTGCACCCCCTTGGCCTCTCAAAGTGCTGGGATTACAGGTGTGAACCACCGTGCCTGGCCAGTATTTAACCACTATTTGCAACATTTTACTTTTTTAAAATCGGGGGGTGGAGGGATGGGATGGGAACCTACCTTATATCCTAATTTTAAGATTTCAAACCCCACTTAGGTCAGCAAAATGGCAGCATAGGCAGCTTGAAGGTCCTGTCCCCCCATAGAAAGTCAAAGAACAAGCAGAAGCTGTCAGAATCAACTTTGTCAGACTCGAAAAAAGTCAGAGGCTTACAGCAACCAAGTGGATGCTGAATTAAGAAAAATAAAAAATGGGCCAGGTGTGGTGGCTCACCCCTGTAATACCAGCATTTTGGGAGGTCAAGGCAAAAGGATCTCTTGAGCCCATGAGTTTCAGACTAGCCTGGAAACACAGTGAGACTCTGTCTCTACCAAAAATAAAAATTAACCAGGCCTGGTGGTGCATGCCTATAGTCCCAGCTACTGGGGAGGCTGAAGTGAGGGGATCATTTGAGTCTGGGAAGTCAAGGCTGCAGTGAACTATCATCTAGACACTACACTGAAGCCTGGGTGACAGAGTGAGTCTCTATCTAAAGAATATATAGATAAGGCTGGACGTGGTGGCTCACGCCTGTAATCCTAGCACTTTGGGAGGCTGAGGCGGGTGGATCACGAGGTCAGGAGTTCGAGACCAGCCTGGCCAACATGGTGAAACCCCCATCTCTACTAAAAATACAAAAAATTAGCTGGGCGTTTTGGCAGATGCCTGTAATCCCAGCTACTTGGGAGGCTGAGGCAGGAGAATCACTTGGGAGGCGGAGGTTGCAATGAGCCGAGATCTTGCCACTGCACTCTAGCCTGGGTGACGGAGCAAGACTCCATCTCAATAAATAAATAGATAAATAAAATGATAGGAAAGTTTTGTGGCATTTTTATTTGCTCTTACTCCACACCTTACCTTGCAACAGTCTTGAAGACAGAAGCCCATACTGTCAGCATGGGCTGTGGCCTCTGGTTCTAGAGAGAGCAAAGCAGACCTTATTTGCAAATTATTGTGTAGATTGGTTTTAACTTGTCTGAGGGTAAATGAAGGACTGGTACAAAGCGCTTACCTCTGTTTGCCTAACTCTGAATTAACCCAGATTGGAAAAGCATAGGGCATTGCTTGAATCATCATAAGATGGAAGAATAAGGCCTGAGGCAAAAGATCACAGTTGAGACATGCAATAAACCACCTCAGGCCTGGGCCAAAAATTTGAGGACAGAGTTTCTTTAGAAAGTTAGGGCAATCAAAAGCACCTGTGTATGCAGGGAATTTAGAAAGCCATGCATGTGCCCAGGGCAAGATGCTCACTCAGAAAAGATGTGATAAAAACTTCAGCTTTCATCACAGCTGATTCCTAAGCTCCGTGCAAGCCTGGCTAAGTGTTGAATGAGGGCCCCAGCACAGCCCAGTTGGCAAAGACTGAGAAAAGTATTTTTGTTTGTTTCTTTTGTTTCTTAGCTCCTGAAATTCAAGTAAAATTCCGTCAAAACATCACTGAAAATCAGGTGCAGTGGCTGATGCCTGTAATCCTGGTATTTTGGGAGGCTGAGGAAGGCAGATCACTTGAGGACAGGAGTTCGAGGCCAGCCTGGACAACATGGTGAAACCCCATCTCTATTAAAAATACAAAAATTAGCCAGGCATGGTGGCGTGAGCCTGAAATCTTAGCTACACAGGAGACTGAGCCAGGAGAATTGCCTGAACTTGGGAGATTGCAGTAAGCAGACATCACACCCTTGCACTCCAGCCTGTATGACAGAGCAAAAACTCTGTCTCAAAAAGAAACAAAAAACAAAAACCAACCAAACCAACAAACCAGCAAAAAAAAACCACTCACTGAATACAAGCTAAGGCACAGAGACTTCAGCAACCACACATGACAAAGAAAAGTCTCCGCAAAAATAGGAAAAGTTACTAGAACAAGACTACTACAGGACTCAACAATAAAAACAAAAACAATCACAAAGAAAAGGAAACTCCAAAGAAGGAGAATAATCTTATTTCTAGAGTTGCTGCAATATACTATTCAAAAGTCCAGTTTTCAAAAACAACAAAAGAACACAAGAAGGTACACAAAGAAACACGTAAGTATACTTCAATAAAACAAACAGACAAAAACCATGCCAAAGAAGCCCAGACATTGAGCTTATTAGATAAAAACTGTAAAACAATGGTCTTAAATGTACTCAAAGAGCTAAAGGAAAATGTGTACACAAAACTAAAGAAAATCAGGAAAATAGTGTATGAACAAAATGAGAATACCAATACAAAGACAGAAATTATAAAAAGGAACCAAACAGAAGTTTTGGAGC